GCGCCCCCCTCCTGTGACCTCGCCCCTGCCCCTGCCAATGCTGCCCCATGCCTCCCCCTGTCATCTCCCAGGGATTCTCCTCCTCTGTCTTCCCAGATGGTGGGGGCTCCTCACTGACCCTGTCTCGTCCCCCTTGCATCGGGCGCTCCCTTGCTGTCCTCTGTATCCCCCAAGGTTTCTAATCAACTCCCTCTTCAGTAAGATGCAGGAAGCCGCTCGACACAGTTCACAATGAGGGAGGTAGTATGGCAGTAAAAATCTGTATTTGCACGACCTCTTTACTAGCCACCTGTATTAATAATGCACAGTTGCCACCAACAACCTGTATTTGTACAGTGCCTTTAGCAGCTTCTATTACACCAAACCTTTCACAGTAACACAATTTGCACAGTGTTGTCACTAATAACATGCATTTGCACAGCACATTTAACTGCTGGCATTCGTACGGCACTGTGAACAACAATTTGTATCTCTACAACAGTTGAATCAACCTGGGACTGTTGATTTGATGAATCTTATTTTGCATGTTTATCTGCTATCTTTACCCTGCGTGATGACCCCCAATAGCTTCCCCTAAGTTTCCATCATACAAAGCATGTGATCTCGGCTGTGGATGTTCATCAGATTGTCAGAAATGCTTTCCTTCAGTATTTGTAGCTGTGGCAGGAATGGAGAAGTGAAACGTCCCAAGGAAGCTGTAGTTGAATCAGGTTCTGAACACAATTGACACAGGCAAAAGAGGAATTCTCAGCAGCAGAACAAATCCTGTAGAACACCCCTGATAAACACACCATTTGCTAGGTTTCAACTTCCAAAGCATGTCTTGAATAGAGAATAGCTATAAATGTATCCCTGAAACCATTTGCCTTTAAAAAATCAGAATGACAGATTTTAAGAAACGCTGCATCTTTTTTCTTTAACTTTTCATAGAACATGAGTTTTCCTGGCTAAACCAGCGTTTGTTGCCAGTTTTTATTGCTGTGGGTCTGGAGTCACAAATAGGGCAGACCAGGATGTCAATGAACTAGATGATGGTATTTTATGATAACAAATGGTGAATGTACATTTGACATCGGGCTGACTCTTTAATTCCAGATTTTTATGGAGTTCAAGTTTTGCTGTCTGCCTTGGTGGGATTTGAACTCATGACTCCCAATCACAGAAACATAGAAAATAGGTGCAGGAGTAGGCCATTCAGTGCTTCGAGCCTGCACCATCATTGTCTGATCATGCAACTTCAGTACCCCATTCCTGCATGCTCTCCAAACACCTTGATCCCTTTAGCTGCAAGCTCCCTCTTGAATATATCTAACAAATGGCCCCAACTGCTTCTTGTTTATAGAAAATTCCACAGGTTCACAATTCTCTGAGTAAAAACGCTCTTCATCTCAGTCCTGAATGGCTTTACCTTTATTCTTGGACTGTGGGCCTTAGTTCTGGACTTCCTGAATATCGGGAACATTTTTCCTGCATCTAGCCTGTCCAGTTCCATCAGGGATCTCGTTCTGGATTATTTGTCTAGTGACATTACCACCATACCACTGCTTCCCCTGGTGGTTGTCTGAAAGAGCTACCGAATTAGTCCCACTGTCCTGCTTTTACCCCATGCACTTGACCATTGCATCAGCACGCTCCTATTGATAACAATCCACCAATTTGTGCAAAACATCTCCGCTCCTTCCCTGGTTCTTTTGCCCATTATTTCAAATCTGTATCCTTTGGCTACTAATCTTTGGGAAACTGTTTCTTCTCATTTGCTGAACAATGTCCAGTGTAATTGTGAGGTGGTGGGTTATGTTCACTTGGACCATCCAAGGTGCTGTATCCACATAGGTTTTTACATGCACGTCGTAGTCTGGAGTATCAGATACTGATGTTGGAAGCCTTGGTGTTCTTCTCACGCCACATCTGACCAGGAATCTCCGGCTTTTGCCTCCTGCTATTGGTGCATGTGGAAGAAGTTGCAAGTTGTTTATTTACTGGTTTGTCCACTGTATCACTGCCACTTTCTTGGCAGGGAGTGGGACTCATCCGAGAGCTCTGGTTCAGAGGCTGAGACGTTGCATGACAAGCCCTTGTTGTGTCATTGTGTAAGCATCTATTAAATCTTCCTGTCACCTATAAAGAGGACAGCTCCAGTTTCTCTGCTCGACAGCGCTTTAAGGACTCTTGCTCACGTACCAATTGAAGTTTCCCACGCTTTTGTTTTCTGGCTGTAGGACAAAGAATCTGATTGAATTTCTCCCTTAAAGAGTGATTCCTCTGCCTGGCAACCCACCATTTTCCATCTTACTCCAATGGAACAGGTAATATTGAGGAGGTGGCGAGGCTGCAGAAGGACTTGGACAGGTTAGGAGAGTGGGCAAAGAAGCAGCAAATGGAGTACAACGTGGGAACGTGTGAGGTCATGCACTTTGGTAAGAAGAACAAAAGCATGGACTATTTTCTAAATGGGGAGAAAATTCAGAAGTCTGAAATGCAAAGAGACTTGGGAGTTCTAATCCAGGATTCTCTCAAGGTAAACTTGCAGGTTGAGTCAGTAGTCAGGAAGGCAAATGCAATGTTGGCATTTATTTTGAGAGGACTTGAATATAAAAGCAGGGATGTACTGCTGAGGCTTTATAAGGCTCTGGTCAGGCCACATTCGGAGTATTGTGTGCAGTTTTGGGCCCTATATATCAGGAAGGCCCTATATATCTGGAGCGGGTTCAGAGGAGGTTCACAAGAATGGTCCCAGGAAATGGAAAGCTTAACATATGAGGAACGTTTGAGGACTCTGGGACTATACTCATTGGAGTTTAGAAGGATGAGGGGGGGATCTAATTGAAACTTTCAGAATACTGAATGGCCTGGACAAAGTGGATGTTGGGAAGATGCTTCCATTGGTAGGAGAGATTAGGACCTGAGGGCACAGCCTTTGAGTAAAGGGAAGACCTTGTAGAACAGAGATAAGGAGAAACTTCTTCAGCCAGAAAGTGGTGAATCTATGGAATTCACTGCCACAGAAGGCTATGGAGGCCAGGTCATTGAGTACATTTAAGACTGAGATAGATAGGCTCTTGATTATCAAGGGTTACGGGGAGAAAGCAGGAGAATGGGGTTGAGGAACTTATCAGCCATGGTTGATGCCGGAGCAGACTCGATGGGCCAAATGGCCTAATTTCTGCTCCTATGTCTTATGGTCCTTAACTTCTGTAATGTTGGAAAATCTATCAATCTCTGTCTTGAATGTCTTAATAGACTATACATCTGGCGGTGGTGAAGAATTGCATCGCTAATTGTCATGAGTGGATTCCTAGGCTGTTTCTTAAGGCAGTTAAGAGTCCACTACATTTCTATGGGTCTGGAGTCACGTATTTCCGGATTGGGTAAGGACAGCAGATTTCTTTCCCTCAAGGATACTGGTGAATGTCCTGAGTTCTGAGGAAGGATCACTGGACCTGAAATGTTAAACTCCAATTTCTCCCCACAGATGCTGCCAGACCTGCTGAGCGTTTCCAGCAATTTCTGATTTTGTCTCTGATTTCTGGCATCTGCAGTTCTTTCGGTTTTTACGCTAGTGAACCAGATGGGTTTTGATGACAGTCACTCACTACTGAGACCAGCTTTCAATTCCAAATTTATCGGATGGATTTTAATTCCACCCACTGCTACGTTGTTACTGCCGATAGACAAGCTTCAAATACCTAGCAGTAAAGGCCGACGTATCATTTGCCTTTCTGAATGGCACGATGTTAACTTTCTGAAGAGGAATGTTAGCATCCAGATTGGCGTGAAAACAGATCCAGTAGTCACTTTCTAAAGGGAATTGAACGGGAAAGAAGTGCAGTGCTGTGGGCTGAGCTCAGTGACATTAGGGAGTTGGAGTACTTCATAAAATCCCTATGGTAGGGAAGCAGGCCATTCAGCCCATCAAGTCTACACTGGCCCTCCAAAGAGCATCACACCCAAATACAATCTCCCCGCCCCCACCCTATCCCTGTAACCCTGCATTTCCCATGACTAATCCACCTAGTCTGCACAGCCTTGGACAGTATGGGGCAATTGAGCATGGCCTATCCGCCCCAACAGTTGGACAATTGGGCATTTCCGTGCTGTGCCTGTGGAAGTACACAAAGGGATGCAGGCATTGCATGATGGGTTAATGAATGCCTTTCCTACCCACCCTAATTTATGTTCTAAAATGGTGAGCTCCCCTCCCCAACCCAGTTCTCCACTGATCGAATTGGATACCAGTGTTGAATGAAGTCTCTCTTGCACCAGGTTTCTAAAGATCCACGTGACTCCCTCCCCCCCGAGTGAGGCTGTGCTGCAGGTCTGCATCCGTGAAGAAAGTGTGATGACTCAGGGAGCCATCAGGAAAGGTAAACCTTGGTCAATCTGTCTCAGTACGAGAAAGAGAGAGAGAGAGGGATGTGCTTCCCTTCCTCGGGTGGCTGATAATAACCAGCGTGCTGTTTGCCTGTCCCTCTTCTAGAGCAGGATGCTGTCTGCAGTGTCATTCCCTTCTGGCCATCTGCTGCAGTTGGCACCGAGACGAGACTCACTTTACCATCTGCGACCTGGAAGAAGGACGATTCCGGTGAATCGAAACCCAGAGGGAAAAGGTCCCGTTCAGACAGGTACCCTGTGACTCGGGACAGGATCGAATTCTCACTCTGGGAAAGGTAGCACCCTCCATACTGTAGGTTACACAGTCACCGTTGCTTGATATTGTCTAGTGCTGACTAATACTGGCTGAGTAATCCGAATTGTAAGTCTCCCCTAAGAGAGAATGCTGTGGATTCAAATCCCTCTCTAGGCTATCAGCAAATAAATTCACGCTGATGCTCCCACTGAACCGCTGAGCAAGTGCTGGACTGTCAGCGGTGCTGTCTTTAGAACCTAAAAGGTAAACAAAATGTTCTAGAGTCATACAGCACGGAACTGGCCCATGATCCCAAACTAAACTAGTCCCACCTGCCTGTGCTCGGCCATATCCCTCCAGACATTTCTTATTCATGTACTTATCCAAATGTCTTTTAAACATTGTAACTGTAAATGCACCCACCACTTCTGGCAGTTTATTCTACGCACGAACCACTTTGTGTAAAAAAAAACAAAAAAATTGCCCCATGTCTGTTTTAAATCTTTCTCCTCTCGCCTTAAGACAATGCCCCCAGTCTTGAAATCCCCCACCCTAGGGAAAATACGCCTGCCATTCACCTTATCTACACCCGTCATTAGTTTATAAACTTCTGTCAGGTCACCTCTCAACCTCTTATGCTCCAGTGAAAAAGGTCCCAGCCTATCCAGCCTCTTCCCCCATAGCTCAAATCCTCCTTTCGTGGCAACATCCAGGTAAATCTCTTCTGAACACTCTCCAGCTTAATAATATCTTTCTTATAACAGGGAGACCAGAATAACTCTTGTCATTTATCGAAACTGGAATGGAACCTAAACCAGGGAAGTGTTGATACAGTTGTATTGGTGAGACCACATGTGGAGCACTATGTACCATTTTGGTCTTTGGTTTAAACAAAAGACCGCAATTACTCTAGAAACACTTCAGTGATGGTTGACCATACCGATGTGTGCCCCCTTATGAGACTAAGACGAGGGGACACAGTTTAAGAGTAAATGAGTTTGCCATATGAGACAGATATGAGGAAATGTTTATTCTGAGGATCACGAGTCTGTAGAATTCTCTTAACCTGGGAGCAATAGAGATGGGGGTTATTGGATCCTTCTAACTAAGTGGTAGATAGATTCTTGACGAACAAGGGATATAGAATCACAGAATCCCTACACGTGGAAGCAGTCCAGTCGGCCCATCAAGTCCACACTGACCCTCCGAAGAGCATCCCACCCAGAACCAGCCCCCTACCCGTCTCCCTGTAACCCTACAATTTGCCATGGCTAACTCACCCAGCCTGCACATCCCTGGACGTCACGGGCAATTTAGCACGGCCAATCCACCCTAACCTGCACATCTTCGGGCTGTGGGAGGAAATCGGAGCACCCAGAGGAAACCCACGCAGACATGGGGAGAATGTGCAAACTCCACACAGACAGCCAGTCCGAGGCTGGAATCGAACCTGTGTCCCTGGTGCTGTGAGGTGCTGCTAACTACTGAGCCATCGTGCCGTCCAAGGGAAGGGAATAGGGAGGTCAAGAAAGTGGTGTAGACTTGAGGGGCTGAGTAGCTTACTCCTCATCCAAATTTGTATGCAGCCACCCACAACGGAAGACCAGGCTGACACCACAACCTTCAGACCAGTTTCCTAAAAATAAATCGAGCAAGTTGTGCTGAACGGAACAATGTATCCATGTTCAGAGATAACACAGTGTGGAGCTGGATGAACACAGCAGGCCAAGCAGCATCAGAGGAGCAGGAAAGCTGACGTTTCGGGTCGGGACCCTTCTTCATCTATATTCATATTCATATTCAGGCCTGGTTTAAATCAGTGTAAAGCCCAAGAACAACTTCTGCAAATTTAAAATTGACTCTTCTCAATGTTAGTTTCTTTAAGGAATGTGTTGTCTGAATGCTGAAAGTGCCTAGCTTCGCAAAACGGCAAATTCCGCTCTGTCAGAAATTCCAGTTGAGAGAGAATCCTTTTTAAAGTGTTGGATAGCACGACATTTACAACGTTTATCAGACTGCAGTCTACCTGGCATCATTAAGTGGCTAAATTGAGCATTCGAATACCTCCTGGTAAAAGAGGGCGGTGAGAAATGTTGTAATTGGTCTGTAGCCATATTCCAGCAAATAGATTTGCTGTGAACATATGTACTTTGTGTAGGAATGATGTATCAGTTTGTAGTTTAATTCAATACCATCCTTCCTTTAATGTCCCAGCCGCCAATTACTGTTTGTCTACTTCTGTCACTCCTTGACTGGAACACGTTTGCGCATTTATAAACGGATTACTTGTCTATCTGTAAATTTCCTGCTGTATGCCACGTGGCAGTTCATTCTGCAAATGTTTTTCTTGAATGCACGAATATTATTGTTGAATTTCTCCCCAACTCCCTGCGATGGCGGATTGGTTTGACTCAATCGCGGTGAGTCGGCGCCAGAACGGACGGGAAAAGCTGAATTATGCAGTGCAGTGACTTGTCGCTGGCCCTCCCAGGTTGGCGAGACCCAGAAGCAGCAGCTCGCCTGACCTGCCAAGGGCAACGCCGGACAGCGATCGGAATTGGCCGGCGGGCAGGAGAGTGCCACTGGGGAGGCTCCCGCTCCCTCTGGAAGAGGCCACCCCGGGGAGACTGAGGAGGGGCGCCCCGCGACCACGAAGCGGGGTCTACATCGGCGACCAGGCAGCTCGCTGGAATCGGGTGAAGGCTGACCTCGCCTTGCCGAGCGACGAGGAGGTGGCCAGAGTTTTGCTGGATGTGTAAGTCCTTTCCCCGCTGTTCCGCACCTCCTGTGGCATGAGCTCAGCAAATTCTCGGGACTTGATCAAGTCTGCAAATTCCCTTCCTGGCTTGGAGCTCCTTCCCCGACAGTGCATCACGTGCTGATTCAGGAAGGCTGGTCACCTTCAAGGGTCGTTGAGGGTGGGTAACAAATGTTGGCCTTGCCTGTGTGGATGAACATTTTTTTAAAAAAAAATTCAAAGTCTTGGTTACGGAGGTACCCATGAGCCTGGCTGGCGTGTTTTGCACACAGCCGCGGGGATCGCCCTTTGAAAAGCCAGTCCCAAAGCGTGTGAGGTTCGCTTTTGCAGCAGTGATCCCCAGAGCTTGTTCCTGATTCCATTGAGAGGGGTTTGGGTGTTGGTGCTCCGTCCGTGATTCACGCTGTGGGGGTTCCAAGCCAACCACCCCCCCCACCCCAGGGCAGTTGTTGCTCGTGTCAGAAATGAGTGGGGTCAAGGTTGAGTGGGGAGAGGCAAAGGGTGGGGCAGGCCATCTTGAGCTAAAGGTGAGTCATTGGCACAGAACGAGACCCAGATAAGACCATAAGACATAGAAGCAGAAATTAGGCCATTCGGCCCATCGAGTCTGCTCCGCCAGTCAATCATGGCCGATAAGTTCCTCAACCCCATTCTCCCACTTTCTCCCCGTACCCCTTGATAATCAAGAACCTATCTATCTCAGTCTTAAATGTACTCAATAACCTGGCCTCCACGGCTTTCTGTGACAGTGAATTCCATAGATTCACCACTCTCTGGCTGAAGAAGTTTCTCCTTACCTCCGTTCTCAAAGGCCTTCCCTTTATTCTAAGGCTGTGCCCTCAGGTCCTAGTCTCTCCTACCAATGGAAGCATCTTCCCAACATCCACTTTGTCCAGGCCATTCAGTATTCTGAAAGTTTCAATTAGATTCCCCCCACTCCATCCTTCTAAACTCCAATGAGTATAGTCCCGGAGTCTTCAAACGTTCCTCATCTGTTAAGTTTTTCATTTCTGGGACCATTCTTGTGAACTTCCTCTGAACCCACTCCCGCGCCAGGACATCCTTCCTGATACAGCGGGAAGCCCTGAGGGGCTCGGTACCAGTTTAACAGGAGGCAGTCTGTGATTGACTGGAGCAGCTCAGGGGACGGGGGTGACCTGATAGCATGCTACAATACAGAGGAAAACCTCTCTGTTTAAGTCTGAGCCGAATGCTCAAAGGGGACCACCTTCAAGACTTTCTCCATGCTTGGGAGGAACCACTCGTGTTCTGCAAACTCCACACCACCTACACCCCCATTACAAACCCTTTAATTTTACCACAGTTTCACAAGGACATTTGAAACAATCCCTTCTCCCCATCTTCTTAAACTTAGCCAAAGTTATTTGAATTTCCTAGGTTTATAGAGAAGCGAATGCATCAGCCGGGTCCCAGTCACACCGTCCAGGAGACTGACCTCGATGTCGAGGCAGACGTTTCTCATGATTCCGCCAAGGAGGACAACGGTTTGTGATTTCTTTAGGTCCTTTGGTGTACTTTGGGTCTCGGGTGGTAGCACAGAGGGATGGACTAGATGCCTAATAGCCCAGATGCCTAATAATGCAAGTTTTTGAGCTGTAAGAATCGGTCAATTCCACTCCAAGGCATTCGATGAAACCAGGGAGCAACGGACAATACCTAAGCCACTTGTGCTGTGCTTCCCAAACTCTTGAATTCCTCTGTCATTTTGATCCCGAGGTGGCTGGGGGTAGGAAGGTGTGTGTGTGTTGGGGGAGGGGGGCTCATGATGGGGTTTTGGTGTTTGTGAGGGTTGGGTGCGTGGTGCTGGGGTTAACTTCTGAGTGTTGGCTGGGTGGAAGTCCCTTTACCAAGGAGCATAAGTTGACCATTCGGCCCCTCAAACCTGTGCAGCCATTCGATATGATCATGGCTGATCTGCTTGCATGCCGATATTCATCTGCCCCACGATTACCTTTGATTCCATCTCCCAACAATAATCTATCCACCTCTGCCTGACAAATATTCAGTGACCCTGCTTCCATTGCTTTCTGAGTTAGACAGTTCCAAAATCGTACACAACCGACTGAGAGAAAGTCAGGAACAAAAACAGAAGTTGCTGGAAAAGCTCGGCAGGTCTGGCAGCATCTGTGGAG